TCAATGTAATTTTCTGATTGCCATTGATGCTTGCTCTGTTCTGTACCCTGGGGGGTCTCTGCTGCTGCTCTCCTTGTCTTAAACTTTTCCATGTATGCACATAAAAGGGCATGGAGGTGTGCTCTCCCTGCCTTAAGGTTTTTCACGTAGGCACGTGGAAGGGCAAGGAGATCCCAGAACAGAGCCATACCGCCAAATGTAATATTGGAATAAAAGTTATTTTGACAAAAGTGGTCCTGACTGAATTTCCATGTTGTTCTGTTTAGAGGGGTGGGGTTTTACCTGTGGTGCCTCCCTCCAGTCCTGGTCCATAGGCTGACACCATCCCAGGGTCTCCAGCCTGGCCCGTCTCTCCAACTCGGATCTTAAACGGACTACCAGGGATGTGACTTCCGTTGAACTTCACATCAATTAGATAGAGACCATTCTCTCTGGGGATGAAGCGGACCGCATACTTATCTAGACAAACAGCGAGGAGGGGAAAGGTAAGGCAAAAGTTTCCTCAAGTCCACTGACAATCAAAATTCGACCCAAAAACGTGACATCGCATGAGCAGGTCTTCGGATGATGTCCCTGGTTACCTTGGTCAATCTCAGTGACGCAGCATTCCTCCAGAGCTCCAGACGGGCTGTGGACCTTTGCATCGATCACACCCTTTGCCCCGTTCAGGCTGACGGCAAATGATGCCGGCTGGTTCACCTTCAAACCCGACTCCTGCTCAACAACACACACTCAATATTGTATCACCATTATTTAACACGAGCCGAATAACTATGCAACTTCCCCACTGCTGAATGTTACTCGAGACATAACAGCATCTACTACATAACATCTGCCACTATTGACCTTACCTGGAGGTCGCTAACAAGGCTAAAGAGGAGGGCTGTGCAGTGAAAAGGAGATGAAAGCAGGCATTTGTGTGGACAGGTAAACAGAAACTGAAGAGCACACTGTAATGCAATAAGTTATTTCAACAAATGTTGAAACAAGATTACATTGAACATTTTAAGTAACACAAACTCAATTTTGAAAGTTCAAAGATTCTTGAACTTTTAATAGTAATTTTAAGTAACACTAACTTAGTTACAACAAGTTACAGAGACATTCCTGATTAAGTACTTTTTAACTAGGTGTCACTTACAAATACTAAAGCTACTTGGTCAAGAAGTAATCAGTTTCAACTTTTAAGTTAATTTACTTATCTGGTTTTACTGTAAACAGAAGAAAAAGTGACAGTGTGTCTGAGTGTATTCGTAAGTTATATGTGTGTGAGAACGTCTGTGCTTGTGTGAGGGTGGGTCTGCGCCAGGGTTATTATAGTTTTGCACTTTTCATTAATTTAACATTTTTGTTCTCAGTTCAGTTTAGTTTCCAGAGTGGGTTTATTCGTTTGAGTTTACTTTTTATTAGTTTCTGTATCGGTTTAAGGGTGTATTTGTCAGGGGGGGACTTATGAAGCTCAGAATTGGTATTACAATACAAACATATTGTCTCACAGTCTCAATAAGCCCATGCACCACTTCAGGCTTGAAAAACGTTTTTGACAAGGGCTAAAACTAAAGCTATTTTTTTTTGTTTCAGTTTTTCGTTTTACTTAGGCATACTACAAGGCGTTTTTAACTGGTTATGAAACAGTCTCAGTTTAATACTGATGCCTCTATATGACCTACATAAGCAAACAAGACCATCAGAGAGAAGACTGGCTATTTCTATGTAGTTATTCTGAATGTCTGCCACCGGACTGGATTCAGTTGGATTCCTCTTGAAATCAATTAAATGAGGCAGTGGGAACACTGCCGCTTTTGTCCACAGGGGCTGCCAGAATCAACACAAAATGAAAGTTCCTTTAAGGGTCTTTTACTACAATAACCTTGGTTTGCGTGCAGGTGAAGATACGTACTACGGTATGAATGTATGGAAGCCCATTCCCACCAGAAAAAGAAAAAAAAAAAAATATGATTTAGTATGTCATAATGTTTAGGCTCTCATTTGCCATTCGTTTTTGGTGTGTCCTGCAGAACCATTTTTTTCTTCTCTGTCAGAAATGGGCTTTCATCCACAGTGTTGGATGTACTTTGTACTTTGTACTTTGTACTGTGAGTGTGAACAGACAGAAGAGAGAGAAACAGCCCGTGGCAAACCTCTTTAACCCTTTAGCGCCCCGTATCACTTTTATGGGTGGGAGGCTGTTGGGAGCCTTTAGAATGAGGCACGAGAAACACACACAGTCCTCTAGTATTCCAGAAGCCCTCGCACTGCCTCACAATGCAGCAGCAGCTGATGATCCTACACCTCTACCTCTCAACTACCATCTTATACAGTCCAACCATCTTGGCCTGCTAAAACATTCACTACTCTGCTATACACTTAACTTCAAAGTAACTATTCCACTTGTAAAATTGATTAAATAAGAGCACAAAAACTTTCACAAAAGGTAGAACTTAAGTCTTTTGCATTGAATTGTACATTTTCATGATATTCTGTCCACACAAGGAAAACTACAATCTGCTGCTGCTGCATTGTAGGCAGTGCACTGTGGCCTGGTGTGTGTGTACACGGATGTGTGTGTGTCTCAGAGCCTCACCTGAAGACTGGCAACAGTGAGGCGACGGGCGTCGTCTGACGGCGACGCTACAGGGACGATGAAGGGGCTGTCAGGAATGTGCTCGTCGTTGAAACGGATCGACACCTCGTAGTCTCCTACACGAGAACAGATTTCAAGTCAGTAAGTCACTAAAACAACAGAGCTGCAACGATAAGTCGATTAATCGATTAGCTGTCAACTATTAAATTAATCGCCAACTACTTTTTAAAGAAAAAATGTCAAATTCTCTGATTTCAGCTTCTCAAATGTTTCTTTAGTCCTCTATGACAATAAATACAAAACAATAAACTGGGTTGTAAGCAAAACAAGATATTTGTGGCGTCACCTTGGGCTTTAGGAAACAGATTTTTCACCTTTTTCTGGCATTTTAAGGACCAAACAACTAATCCATTAATCCAGGAAATTATTGACAGATTATTCAATAATGAAATAATTGTTAGTTGCAGCTCCATAAGTCATACAAATACAAAAATAGAGACAGGCCAACACAACATGCACGTACAGATTAAAGTTTCTTATAAAAAACATTTATGTCAAAAAAGGACAAGAATATAGGTATACAGTATGGAGAGGAACAAAACACAGCATTAAAGAACAGAAATGTACGGTACAGAAATGTAATCTGCAGCACATTCTTAGTTCTCATCCATTCATAACCTGTCTCTCACCAGGCTCCTGCACGATGTAGGACACTCCACTGGAGCCGTCCTTGCGGTCCTCAAAGGCAATTTCAGCCTTGCTCGGTCCCTCCACAGCAATGCTGAGACCTCCAGCTCCAGCCTCCCTCGTCCAGATACTGAACTCAGCTACACACAACACAAAACAGACTCAGGCACACTGCGTGAAATAACACATCTCGGCTCACATGCACTACTAATCCAGCCCCCACACCAACCTGGTACTCCAGCCTCCGCTCTCTCCAGGCCTGGCCCTCCAGCACGAACCTTATGAGACCCGCCCTCTCCCAGGGGGCCCACCGTAAACTGGAACGGGCTGCCAGGCACGTGCACGCCGTTGTATTTCACACACACGGTGTGCACGCCTGTCTCGGTGGGGACGAAACGAATGCAGTAGGTGTTGTTCTCTCCCTCCATAATGTCAGCCTTGTGGATCTGGCCAGACGGGCTGGTCACCTGAGCGGTCATGTCCGCTATGCTGATCTCTGAAAAAAAGCATTGAAAAAACACACATGAAGTGAGACTATGTAACGTTTACATGAGAATGGAAGACTGTCTGGAGTCATTTGCTTTAGAAAAAGAGATCAGCGGTTTGGGAAATACACTTCACTTTCTAGCCGAGTTAGATTAGGAGTTTGATTCCACTCATGTCTGTGCAGTTAATATGAAGGTAGATCCAGCACGCGGTCTGTCAAAGGTAACAACTTCCACCCTCCACTGATTGCACTCAAAACTGGTGGAAACGTGGGCTGCTTTGCTAGATAACAGGAAGGTTCCAAGAATCTTGAACAGCATAACCTGCCCAGGGACTGCGGATGAAAATTAGCTTACTAGCTAACTGCACCACATTTACATTGAAGTGTAAACTGCAATGTTGATTAATGTTCACTGTCCCTGGTACATAAAAACATTTTTTTTAGAATAAGAGAGCTAATTTGGTAGAGAAACACTATACGTTGGAGTTTAATTCTACCATGACTGCAAATAGGCTTTTTCCACCAACAGTCTCAGGGTTTGCTAGATAGCACCATGGTTCCAAGAATCTTAAACAGGAAGGGGCCATAGAATGATGTAATTATGTCCTGTCACAGTCACCTGGAATCTTGAGGCTGAGGTCACACTGGCTGCCAACATTGGCGACTGATGCTGCTCTCCTCTTCCTGGTGATGCTCTCCTTCATCCTGCCTTCCCCTGTTACCTTCACTGTGAATGCACTACCTACACACACAAACACACAAACACACACAATGATTCAGTTTAGTAATTTAGAACATTGCTTTGCTTTGTAATCCCTGGCTGTCCTAAGGTAAATACCTGGCACATGCTGGTCAGCGAACTTGATGTTAATAATGTAATTTCCTGGTTCAGTTGGGCAGTAGGTGACCTTACAGGTGCCATCCTCCTGGTCCTCAGTGTTGATGTCCACTTTGCTGGGCCCCTCAATGGACAGACTAAGGCCGCCATAGCCTGTATGGAAGAAACATGTGAGTAGCAAGAAAGTGTGAATGAAAAGTGAAACGTTAAAAAACTACCACATGTACAAATGTTTTTATCGAGCACGTACCTGCGTCACGGGTGTCGATGATGAACTCGGCAGGCTCAAAGGTCCTGGCCTCACTTAGGCCCTGGCCACTCACACGCACACGGCTGGCGTCACCAATCTCTGATTGGCTGATCATAACAGAAATGGGGCTGCTAGGAATATGGCGACCGTTTTTCTTGATGTTCACCAGGTGCTCTCCAATCTCCTTGGGTACAAACGAAATGCCTGTGACACACACATGCAGAAAAACAGGAGGAGGGGGATTTAAAACAAGGATTAAAAAGACAACAGCCGAGACTTATCTTTTCAGTCGATTCGTCGGATGCACACACTCACCAACATGTCCGTTACGCAGCATCTTCAGCAGGCAGGGCTCCTCGCGGCCTGAGGGTGTGGTGAGGGAGGCGGTCAGCTGGCTGATGTCCAGCTCTCCAATGTCCAGTGGGATATCAGCGGCCGAGCCCACCTTCAGATGGGACATCCTCATGGAGTCATCACCTGAAGACACACACAGGGACAGGCCAGTAAGAGCCCAACCCTTTCTGTCATGCCTTCCTGATGTGTGAATTGACTGCATTACCTCTTATTATTATCTTTTTACAGTAAACCCATAAGTGGGATAGGTAGGGACGGGAGTTGAGACATTACGTAAACAGCTGTTGGGGCAAAAACTCATGAAACAGTAATAATAAAATAACTGTTGCGAGTAGTATTGTGATTAAACAGAAGCTCTATCTCTATAGGGATCCTTGCTATAATTTTGTCAGACAGAATGACAATGTGAGCCTGTCACTGGTAAATACAAGCACTTTTAGTGGACGTACTTTGATGGTGCATTTGTTCCCAAGGATTAGTCAATGTTATATGGCAGACATAGCAGCCCGTTTCATGGCTATTTTCTCATCAAACTCTGAATTAAAGGTTTATTTTGACCAAACCAGAGTTGGTGTTTGTTGGAAAGACTGTGGAACAAAGACGGTTTTGGTGAGTTTTAGTTTGTTTCTCTCCGTTTGAAATGTGTTTTACGATTATCTACAAGGTAAAATTACCAGTGTTGTTAATGGAGCCTGGTCAGCCGTAGCACCCATTGTATTGGTCTGTAGTTTGAAATCTAGTGGCAGTAAATTTCATATAACATTTGAGGACTCGAGAATAGATGGTATTACCAGTAATCCTGGCAGAGAAGGGGCTGCCTGGGATGTGCTTGTCATTGTATTTGACCAGGATGCTGTAGTCTCCAGGCAGGACGGGCAGGTAGGACACAGTGCAGGTCCCATCCTGGTTGTCGACACAGCTGATGTCTGCCTTGGATGGACCCTCGATGGCCAGAGACAGACCACCTACAAGAACATGATACCAACAGATGTTGTTGTTGTTGTTGTAAAACACCAACACGACAACACAACACCAACAACACCACCAACAACAAGCAATTAACAATGAAAGACAAACAATGTCACAGCTATGTTTGTCTTTCATTGTTAATTTTAGCATTATGCTTTCTTTCTCATCATTTGGTGGTGGGGTTAAAGTTTGAGCGAGCTGGTGCTGCTGCAAAAATTAAATGCTGTGTAAAATGACTGAAAATTATTGCTGCAGGCATGACTTATACAAGTTAGAGATGACACAGTATGTGCATCTCCATGGACTCTGTATGCAGCAGCCTGTGTAGAAATGTACAGTCAGTTGTATATTGCCATTTGACTGCTACATACCCTCTCCTGCATCTTTAGTGTTAACAGTGAAGACAGACGGCTTGTTGACAGTACCATGGATGAGGCCAGGGCCATAGGCACTGACATTACCACTGTTCATGTAGTCCACATAGAACTGTAAGGGGCTTCCTGTGAATGACAACAGAGAGAGGTAGAGGAATGACTTTCATGCAAGTTTCTCTTGTATTTCTGCAAACACTTCAGAGGTTAAGTTCTACCAGGGATGTGAATGCCGTCGTATTTGATGTCCATCTCATGCAGGCCGGCCTCAGTGGGGGCATACTTGACAGTAACGGTGCCGTCCTTGTTATCTGTGATGTCAGGCTTGGCCACCTTGCCTGATGGCATTCGGACCTCACCTTCAGCACAGGGCAGAAACATACAGTCAGTCAAAGAATTGATTTTAAAATACTGCTGTTGATTTCGAAAGCACTGAATGGGCTGTAGCTTCCCAACCTGGGGGCTGGGGTACCCACTAGGGATCGCTTAGGCTTTACAGGGGGTGTTTTTTGAGGGGTGTAAGAGAACTTAAAAAATATATGCAGTAGACCTATAACTCAGCATTTTGTTCATTTCTGTGAAGAAATGAAATTGTTATTTTTAAAGTTTAGATTATTATTTAAGATATACACTTTGAAGACCTTGTTATAGTGCTGACTCACCTGTGATCTCTCCCTTCTGGATGGTGAATGGGATGACCAGGTCAAACGGTCTCAGCCCTGCCACGTCCAAACCATTCATTCCCATAGGTCTGTCTGTTGCCTGGGAGACAGAGGTCAGAGGTCAAATACATTGTCTGTGAAGAGGTTGCGGTGATGGGTTTGGTCACAGTAACAGTGTATGTCACAGTCAACAGTGCAGGACAGAGGGGTAAAAGTTTCCAAACACCGACAAACAAAACGGGATGAGACAATCATGAAATGATGTGACTGACAATGGAGATGACAATGGTAATCATGGTCAGGATGATGACACCGACACAAACTGTGAGAGAGAATGAGATGAAGACAAAAACACTGCGAGGGAGAATAAAGAAGTTAGCCATTTTGTAAAATGTGGAGCAGCTGACATTCACACATTGATGATTCTCAAAATGGCTGCTTTTGTCTCCCAAGAGAGTTGACATGGAGCACTGCTGAACAGATGCACTGCACAATGAGTTATGGAAAATATTTAACTTCCAAATTGCTATGTTGCTGAATAAATAGTTCACATGTGCAGTTATTTTGGAACACTCAAGTGAGGAATATTAATGTGCCTTTTTTATATTGTGCAGCTCTGTTGCACTGTCCATGTGTTTTAAGGAGTCCTGTTTATGAGGTGGAGGGAGTGAAATGAGAGAAAAGCGCCCTTAGAAATGAAACACCTGCAATGGGAGACAGCAGACACTGACGTAGGCTGATGAAGGGAGGCTGTGTATGATGATTTAGATGAGAGAAAGGGGAAGAGGAAGGGGGTAATAGAGGAACAAAGATTTGAGGGATAAGAGAGGCTGGAGGCAGAGGTTTTAGGTACCCAGGGCTGTTGTGCGTAGTACTGGGGCATTTGGCTCTGCTGCATGAGCTGGTCTGATGGAGCTCCTTCCAGTGCCTGAAGGGGGGGTGGGAGGTGGTGGGTAGGGGTGGTGTAGGGGGTGGAGAGGGTAAAAAAAGATGGAAGGGATTGGAGGGGAATAAAACAGCAGTCAGAGTGATTTAGAAAATGTCTTGCGCCACCAGGACCCTATCATGAAGCTTCTGTAGGGAGAAACAGTGTCAAGGATCTTTGGTTCGTGCAGCATCTCTCACTCACACCTTTACACCAAACACAAACAGAGCTAGGTGTGTGTTGGTTGCTGTGTTTGTTTATCATAATACATCCAAGTTATCCTGCCTGCTAAAATCCTAGAATCACTGGTCACTACCCAGCTGAAAGCACTGCATCCTAAGTCAACATTAATTAGCGTGTGGCCTGAGTAGTTTATAATAAATATTTTCTCATCTAATCTATGATCTTAGCTGCTGGACTTGCCCTCAAAGACTTAAGACTTGCCTTGCATTTCATCCAGATGTTGTTCACTATTAAAATAAATTCTATTCTATAAAATTCGTCTGTATGCAGATGATACTGTTTTATACTGTGTTGCTGATTCTGTCCATTGAGCCACTGAGAAATCAGAACTTTCCTTTAATGCACTTAAAAATGTAACTTAGAAAGAGAGACAATTTCCCTCTGAGCCGTAGAAGAAAAAGTTTTGAGGAGTATATTGACATCTAAATTCACCTTTATTAGTCTGTGATTCCCCTGAGATAGTGCCTTCCTTTCCACATTTAGTTTTGGTTGCCTTCTGTTTACGGACTTTAACCCTGTAAAGCCAAGTGTATCATATTTGATACATGAAAAAAAAATAGAATTTTGTGGCAATTATTTCATGGTTCAGGCTTTACAGGGTTAAAACACACCTAGCGTTTGGAATTTTCAAGTAGCAGTGAATATGATAGCTTTCAATGGGGAAAAATAACAGTGTCTTTTTAGAGATAGATTTCCTAAAACAGTCTGAAAAGTCACTAAGCTGGCAAAACTGAACAAGGGTACTGGAAAGTTAACACACTTAAGGTTTTCCTTAACAAACAGAAATAAATTAAGATAAATAGGGAATAACAATATAACAACAACAAAAAAAAGGACAAATTTAAGATATTTTCTACCCTATATTGCAAGAGACAGATTGGTACTTTTTCAGTTTACTCTATAGCAAAGAATGTGTGGTTATGCCCTAGCCTCTCTTTAACATCAAGACCATTCTTAATAATTGCTCTCTGCTTGTCTGTGGTTGCTTTGACTGAGACTGAACCTTTTTTACCAACAGTTTTTAAAAAGCTTAAAAGCTTTATAGCCAATAAAGGTTAAATGCACATCACTCACCGTGACTTGGAAGGGACTGTTAGGAATGTGCTCCCCTCCAAAGCGGACGCAGATGACATACTCGCCGGGCTGCGGAGCCGTGTAGAAGATGTCGAACGTGCCATCCTCATTTTCAACAACGTCCACGTCGAGCTCCGCCCCCTCAGGCGTGCACACACTGCATGTCACCTTGCCTTTCCCGGCAGCCTTGGCATCCACAGTGATGACTGTCTGTTCGCCAATCTGGATTGTTGGGCCAACACCGGCACCTTAAAAGTTGGGTAGAAATGGTCAGAGGTCAGATGTTTATTCATTATTATTTTCTTACTATATTATACATATCATATTTATGTTATTCAATATTCAGCATGCACATTCCACAACCATGAGACCAGGTTAAAATATGAGGAGATCTAGTCATGTTATTTCCATCTATTATATGTTGTTACCAATGACTCATATGTTATCATCATACAGTTTCCATGTAGAACTGAAAGCTAGATTAGCCATTTCCACCATGCCATCCTACCTACTCTGTTAGTCCATTAGTCTGTCCAATGTCCAGAGAGAAAGTGGAAAAGATAAGTTTGTGTGTGAGAGAGAGAGCACAAGAGAGAGA